AACTGTTAAATCAAAATATGAAATCGACGAAAAATCCTAAACATTCTGGTGATTAATTAACCCATCAATAGGAAAAAAATAATAGCTGAAATAAATGTATATTTAAATTGAATCTAATAAGGCACTTCACATAATGAAGCATGAAATAGATCCACGAAATTATTAAAAATAATTAAAGAAACTAATTTAAAAAATATGAGATTGAGGAATAGAGGGAGAGAAGACCTCGGCGGCATGAATTCTATTTCTCTCCAAACGTGATAACGAAATTGGTGGAGAATGAGCGAGGAGAAAAGTTAACATAATAGGTGACAAAGTGAGCGTGCTCATATAATTAGGTTATTAAGATATTCATCCTGAAATATTAAATACATACATATTAGTCCCTAACATATTTGTAATTGCTCATTTACAACAATGTTACTATTTAGTATTAAATCAATTTTATTATATAAGATTATATGACCCTTTTTAAGAAATTATAAAGTATATATATGAAAACATCAATGCTTATAGGCAGTAGGTGGGCTCCACAAAATATGTTAACTTTACATTGTAGTTTGCTATTAGTAATATTATTGCTAATTATATTATCTTTCCTCTTTATCTTATTATTCACATTTTTCTGATATAAGTCCTCTTTTGCTAATCACTTAATTGGCTATATTTATTTTTTATAATACCAGAGATTAGAATATTCTCTTCTGTTAAAAAAGTGTTTACATGATTTTTTTTTTAAAATATATACACATAGTAGCAATAATATATACTTCAGTTCAACTCAAACATTAGCTTGAAGCCATTTAGAGTGAGGTCCTTTCTATGCTAGAATAGTGATATAGTGATTACATAATCCAAAAGTTAAAGAAGAAATTTTTACAAAGAAAAATTAATTTAATATGTCAAATTAACAACTAAATTATAAAATATACATGAGCAGTGCAAATAGCTATAGAAAGTAAGGTGTATATCTTCAAAAAAAAATTATAGTGAGCGACTAACTACAATCATCCTAATTTAAGCATAAATAATTATCATTTTAGTTACTAATTTGATACACTAAACTTTAGAATAAATCACAAGTATAAAATAGGAATTAAGATTATATTATCTTGTAGGTAAATAAATAAATATTATTAGAGCTCCTCTTTATATTAAATTTAAAATTAATTATTTAAATTATTAAGCACCAAATATTGTTTTATGAGAGAAAGTAAAGTAATCTATGGTCTATATACATATATAGTCAATCAATCAAACATATTAAAATTTGTGAAAAGTTTAAAGGGTTTATTGTAAATTTTATAAATTTTTGGGGGTTATTTGTGTTATTTTTAAGTTTTAGTGTGTTTATAGGTTTAAAATTATCAAGATGTTTTTTACAAATTTTGAATTTTAGGGGTTTTTTTGCATTTTTCAAAACTTACAAGATACTTTCTCCAAAGTTAAAAACTTTTAGTTTTTAGCCATCATATGTTTTTCAGATTTCTCACTGAATTGAAATAAGTAAAATTTAGAATCTTTAAGATGTTTTAATAAAATTTTAAATTTGTAGGAGTGTTTTTGGAAATTAAAAAAAAAAATTAGAGGACATGTTTTACAAAGTCGAAAAACTTTTAGGTGCTGACTAGCATATGTTTTTTAGATTTATCTGCTAACTGAAATAAGTAACGGATTTGAATTATATCGAACATATCTCATTTATCCAATAACATGTTAATTCTCACTATGAATAGGATAAATTATTTAATTATTAATTCAAAAAAGATAGGATAATTAGAATAGATTAAGATAACAATATAATATTAAAAAAATTAAGTGTAATATTGACCATGAAAAGATTTTATCGAACTCGTACTTTTAAAGGGAGTATGAAGTATGATTTTGTAGTAGATATACTAGAGAGATGATACTCTCACGCTAACCCCTTCGCGTTGGGGGGTTAGTTGTCACATGTAATCAACCTTTTCCTTTTTTCTAAAAAAAAAATTTTAAGAAAAAAAATTCTAAAATCTTAGCTTTCTTTAATGGGATAAATGTCAAATCATGATATTTTTTATGCGAGAGAACATTTTGTTGATTGTCCATTATGAAACATCGATATTTCATGCATGTATCTTGAAAGATAAAAGTAATCAGCTAGGATTGAACCCTCAAAAAACATAAGAAGTATCTCCATAAGATATGCATTGCTCAACAATTCAACACCTACTTGAGTCCTCATGAAAATTATTGATTTGCTATCCTCCAAAAGACATGCATATACAAGTTTTAAACCTAAGTAAACTAAAGCACTTTTAACTAAAATGACAATAGCTAAGAAAACACCTCCTGAGAATGGTCCACGACAATAAATGTGTGATATCAATTGGATCAGTGCACGAGTCACAAAGTTCAATCGTTAAAAGGTTAATATCCTTTGAATTCACTCATGGACCAATCTTCACCGGATATCTTCGAGCCAATGTATTGATATGTGTGTAGACTATGTTGTTTTATTTTTCATTTAAAATTAATTTTATAAAAAAAAAAACAATCGTGAAGGACACATTATTGTATTTGGAAATGGCAG